AGTGCCACGTCCAGGGATGGGGACTCCACATCTCTGGACAGCTCCTTCCAATGCCTGACCACTCTTTCTGTGAAGAAACCCCTCCTGAAAAGGAGAGAGTTTTGCCTAAGCCAGAAGAACGTGTGAAGTGTTAAAAGCCAGCCTGGAACCTGAGCTAATGTCAGGGAGGTTTTATAATACACTCCTGCAGCAGGAAGCCACTTTTCCCTACTTGTATTCTCCACCTCTGCACAGAAATAGGATAATGAGGCACAAGGAGAGAGTTTTGCCTAAGCCAGAAGAACGTGTGAAGTGTTAAAAGCCAGCCTGGAACCTGAGCTAATGTCAGGGAGGTTTTATAATACACTCCTGCAGCAGGAAGCCACTTTTCCCTACTTGTATTCTCCACCTCTGCACAGAAATAGGATAATGAGGCACAAGAAATAGGATAATGAGGCACGAGAAATAGGATAATGAGGCACAAGAAATAGGATAGTGAGGCACAAGAGGGGCAGTCCAAGCATTCCTGAACCCCACCAGATTCCAGCCACCGTCCCACAAGGACCAGCTCTCCACCCCACCATCACCAACATGAGCCATCACACGCCTTTCCTCTCCGTGGCTCCTGAAATTACTCCCCCTGTGCTTGTTCCCAACCCATTTCGTTGTTTCACTGCTCCAGCTCTAACCCAGCCCACTGCTCTGAACCCAACAATAAATTATTGATCCCAGCGTATCTGCTGATATCAATGGAGCTGCAGCAGCTCGGGGGAAGGCGATCGATGCTGAAGGGCCACCATGTGACAGCAGGAGCCCAAGGGCCACACAACCTCAGGGCCAGCACTGAGCCATTGGAAAACAGCAGCTCTCCATCGAGGTGGAAACCCAGAGCAGGTCATTCAACGAAAAACACACTCGGGCAGCCCCAGCACCAAGCACAGACACGGCACCAAACGGGAGGAAGACGATACTGTGATTTATGGTTCGAAGCTACTTCATTTCCACTCAATGCTGACTTTGTTTCTGCTTTATTTAACAGAATGAAGGCACAGCCATGCTCCATTTCCTAGGGCACGTGATCGCTCGCCCTCTTGCCTATTAGAAACCTCCTCCCACCAAAAAGCCACAGGACTATAATTGTTCCACTGAGCAGTACAGTATCTATACCATGATCTACATCTAAGCCATACATACAAGCTTATATAACTGATTAAATTATCTGTGATGGCTCCAGGTCCTCCACCCTGAGTGAACGACACTGCAGAAGCACCCAAACGGGTTAAAATGATCAAAGAAACCTTCGGTCACGTTGTTAGTTTATATAAAACACCAAAGTGAAGAACAGCGACTTTCTAAGCACACAAAGGGTGGAAAAGCCAAGCACTGGAGCTATCTCACGCTGAGGAGCAGCTGAGGAGGAGAAAATCCCCCCCGAGCCTCCCCTTCTCACTCACCACAACTCACTGCTCCCTTCTCCAGCAATGAAGGGTTTATTTCCACAATTTAAGACCACTTGTGTAGCTATTCCTGTAACTTTAACACCACTACCTGGACAATTCAGCAGTATTATGCAGTACTCAAAACCACCAAATCACCTCTCAGCAGACTTCATTATAAACTCCTCACACTTTTTGGCTGGGGCAGAAGTACAAGAAGCATGGAATGGGACTTTCTGAAGGTAGCAAGATCTCTGAATTTTGAAATGGCTCTGTTCAAGAAGGAGCAAAGTCCCAGCTTTGGCTGCTCGTTTTCCTCAAAATTTCCCATTTTCTGGAGTGCTCCATTAGGCAGGAATAACAGTTACAGGACAAGACCGAGGCAAGGGAAGGCAGAAGTTGCTCTAAATTTGGAACAGTATTTGAGGACAGAATCCCAGTGAGGTTGGAAAAGCCCTCCAAGTTCATTGAGTCCCTCCTGTGACCGATCCCCACCTTGTCACCCAGCCCAGAGCACGCAGTGCCACGTCCAGGGATGGGGACTCCACATCTCTGGACAGCTCCTTCCAATGCCTGACCACTCTTTCTGTGAAGAAACCCCTCCTGAAAAGGAGAGAGTTTTGCCTAAGCCAGAAGAACGTGTGAAGTGTTAAAAGCCAGCCTGGAACCTGAGCTAATGTCAGGGAGGTTTTATAATACACTCCTGCAGCAGGAAGCCACTTTTCCCTACTTGTATTCTCCACCTCTGCACAGAAATAGGATAATGAGGCACGAGAAATAGGATAATGAGGCACAAGAAATAGGATAGTGAGGCACAAGAGGGGCAGTCCAAGCATTCCTGAACCCCACCAGATTCCAGCCACCGTCCCACAAGGACCAGCTCTCCACCCCACCATCACCAACATGAGCCATCACACGCCTTTCCTCTCCGTGGCTCCTGAAATTACTCCCCCTGTGCTTGTTCCCAACCCATTTCGTTGTTTCACTGCTCCAGCTCTAACCCAGCCCACTGCTCTGAACCCAACAATAAATTATTGATCCCAGCGTATCTGCTGATATCAATGGAGCTGCAGCAGCTCGGGGGAAGGCGATCGATGCTGAAGGGCCACCATGTGACAGCAGGAGCCCAAGGGCCACACAACCTCAGGGCCAGCACTGAGCCATTGGAAAACAGCAGCTCTCCATCGAGGTGGAAACCCAGAGCAGGTCATTCAACGAAAAACACACTCGGGCAGCCCCAGCACCAAGCACAGACACGGCACCAAACGGGAGGAAGACGATACTGTGATTTATGGTTCGAAGCTACTTCATTTCCACTCAATGCTGACTTTGTTTCTGCTTTATTTAACAGAATGAAGGCACAGCCATGCTCCATTTCCTAGGGCACGTGATCGCTCGCCCTCTTGCCTATTAGAAACCTCCTCCCACCAAAAAGCCACAGGACTATAATTGTTCCACTGAGCAGTACAGTATCTATACCATGATCTACATCTAAGCCATACATACAAGCTTATATAACTGATTAAATTATCTGTGATGGCTCCAGGTCCTCCACCCTGAGTGAACGACACTGCAGAAGCACCCAAACGGGTTAAAATGATCAAAGAAACCTTCGGTCACGTTGTTAGTTTATATAAAACACCAAAGTGAAGAACAGCGACTTTCTAAGCACACAAAGGGTGGAAAAGCCAAGCACTGGAGCTCCGGGAGGCCTTAGGACAGACCCAGCAAGGGAAAGGTCCCAGCGGTGTGAAGGGGCTTGTCACTCCTAAAAGCACCAACTCCCCAAGCCCAGAGCTATGCAGAGATCCTAAACAGCTTCACCAACTTGATGTGGCTGCCCCTGAAGAGATCGGGAGGGCGGTGACGGCCCGAGGGGACAGTAATGGGCACGGGGAGCGTCCCATGGGCTCCTCCAGCCTCGCCCACACCTCCTGCCCCCGGGCACGGCTGGAGGAACCGACCCCAGAGCTTCCCGAACCTCCATCACCGACACAGGAGAACAGGACCATTTCCAGGCCCCATCTCTCCAAAGCAGGGCTGCCCTGGAAAAGCAGCACGGTCGCGCTTTCCTCCCTTTCCACCTCCAGGCAGCGGCAGGAGGGGGACAGGGACCCCGCGCCCCACCCCCAGTTCCTCACAATTAAAGCTTCCCGGTGTCAAAAGAGGACGTCCCGGTCACGGCTCACGGTGCGGGTGGAATGCTGCAGTGTGCCAGGGCCGGGTGACCCGTCCGTACCCCGCAAAAACATCACCGGAGCCGCGCAAGCCGCCCCACCTGCGCGGCCCCTCGGGGGGCTCCCGCCGACCGCTGCGACACGGCACGGAGGGGACAAGGATGATCCTCCCACACCTGGGATCACCCTCCAAAATGCAGCCGAGGGCCCGAGGGTCCGGATGCAGCTGCTGCCCCTCGCACACGCTCCCCTTGCCAGACTTTCCGACTTCACCCCGGATCATCCGCAGCCGCTGCCGTGGAGCACCTCCCGGCGTCCCCACCCCCACATCAGCTGGGCATCAGTTTGCACCAGAACGCAGGGGGAGGGGAGGAAGACACCCAGATTTTTTAATAGAAAAACCTCGTGAATGTGCAATTCCCTCCCAGCAGGAAGGGAAAAAATAATATAAACCAAATCTGCCCTCGCCATCCCCCCCAAAATCTGTGGCGGAAGGAAAGAGGGAAGGGAGACGCACAACCACGATGCTGACCCAACATCTGGGTCAGCTGGAACACCAAGACTGCCCCAAGCATCCCCCTGCCCGCCTCTCCCCACCAAAAAAAACCCTCCTGTCCTCCAAAATCCCCCGTCCCCGGGCAGGGGAAGCTCTGCATGCCGAGCGGTGGGAGCAGGGGGTGGTGGAGGGACAGAGCAGCGCTGCAGCGAGGGCCGAGGGGGAAGGGACACGGAGCAGAACTCGGGCTCTCCTTTCCTACAATGCACAGAGCACGGCCCCGAATTTGGGGCGTGGGAGGAGGGTCCCGTGGGCCCCCCAAGCTGTGGGGTGGAGGGGGGATGGAGGCACGGACGCAGGGAGGGATGCAGGAACAGACGGAAGGATGGATGGACGGGGCCCAGACGGGACTCCAGGTCCAGGGTGGGCGCAGGGGGCGGTTGCCCCTTCCCAGAGCCAGCCCGCCGGCCGGGGGACGCTGATGCCGGGCCCGACACCGTCCCCCCCACTCCCGCAGGGCCGGGGGCCCGGGGCTGCAGCGGACGGACCCTCCCCGGCCGGGACAGCGGCTGCCGGAGCCCCGCGGGCAGAGCTGAGTGGGCACAGAACCGGCCCCCCGACCCCCTTCCCTGGGTGCGGGGTGCCCGGGCATCCACCGAGGTGATGCTGAGAAGGGGCAAGGCTCCGGGACCCTCCTCACGCGGCGGATTTGGGGCTGGGGGCTCCCCAGGCCCTCCGCCCCGCACCGCCCCACAACCCGCCTCCGGTGTCCCCGGGGCTCTCCGGGCCGCGCTCTGCGGCAGAGCCCCCGGGGGAGGTGTGCCAAGGGCTACGGGGAGACGGATCTAGCAGGACAGCAAGCGAGGGGAGCTGCGGCTGGAGCCCGCGGGGGTCTCGGGGGCTGCGACTCACCGTGTCGGGCGGGCTCAGCGCGGCCCCGGCGCGGCGCTGCCGGACTGCGGCGCGGGGGGAGCTGCGGGAGGGACTGCGGGTGTCGCCATCTTGGTGCGCTCCCGGCGCTCCCCCCGCCCGGCCGGCCCGGCCCCCGCCCCCCCCGCGCGCGCCGCGGGGGGGCGCTCCGGAGGCACCGAGAGGCGCGGGGGGAGCGGGGAACCCCCGGGCCTGGCCCGCCGTCATCATCATCGGCGTCCGTGTGTCCGCCGTCATCATCAGCATCCCCGTGTCCATCACCAGCTTCAGCATCAGCATCCATGTGTCCATCACCAGCATCCATGTGTCCGTCACCAGCATCATCATCAGCATCCCCATGTCCATCACCAGCATCATCATCAGCATCCCCGTGTCCATCACCAGCATCAGCATCAGCATCCCCGTGTCCATCACCAGCATCAGCATCAGCATCCCCGTGTCCATCACCAGCATCCATGTGTCCATCACCAGCATCATCATCAGCGTCCGTGTGTCCATCACCAGCATCAGCATCAGCATCCCCGTGTCCATCACCAGCATCCATGTGTCCATCACCACCATCATCATCAGCATCCCTGTGTCCATCACCAGCATCATCATCAGCGTCCGTGTGTCCATCACCAGCATCAGCATCAGCGTCCCCGTGTCCATCACCAGCATCCATGTGTCCATCACCAGCATCATCATCAGCGTCCGTGTGTCCATCACCAGCATCAGCATCAGCGTCCCCGTGTCCATCACCAGCATCCATGTGTCCATCACCAGCATCATCATCAGCGTCCGTGTGTCCATCACCAGCATCAGCATCAGCGTCCGTGTGTCCGCCATCATCATCAGCATCCCCGTGTCCATCACCAGCATCCATGTGTCCATCACCAGCATCATCATCAGCATCCCTGTGTCCATCACCAGCATCAGCATCAGCGTCCGTGTGTCCATCACCAGCATCAGCATCCCTGTGTCCAGCATCATCATCAGCATCCATGTGTCCATCACCAGCATCAGCGTCCGTGTGTCCATCACCACCATCAGCATCAGCGTCCGTGTGTCCATCACCAGCATCAGCATCAGCATCCCTGTGTCCATCTCCAGCATCATCAGCATCTCTGTGTCCATCATCAGCATCTGTGTCCATCAGCATCATCAGCATCCATGTGTCCATCATCAGCAGCAGCTGCATCCCTGTGCCCACCGCCATCATCAGTATCTGTGTGTCCATCATCATCATCATCATCCCTGTGCCCATCACCAGCATCCCTGTGCCCGTCACCCTCATCATCATCATCCCTGTGCCTGTCACCCTCATCATCATCAGTATCCATGTGTCCATTGTCATCATCATCATCCCCGTGTCCATTATTGCCTGTATTTGGTGCACCACAGAGTAAGTAAAGGTTGGACTCCATCTTGGAGGTGTTTTCCATAAACGATTCTGCGATTCCCACCGCTCAATCTGTTTGTAGCTGCCACAAGGTGGAGGCATGAAAATACAACAGAGATCGTTAATGAAGCACCTAATTACTCCTGGCTTTAATTTGCTTTATTGCCACCAGAGGGAAGCGGAGACACACTGGTGGCTTTCCCAGGAAAGCAAAACTCCAGCGCACCCCCAGCAGAACTGTTCCAAGCTTATTAGGGACCACGCATCCCAAGGTTATTAGGGACCTTGGATTCTCCTGGACCTGGAGCAGAGTTGTCACCTGTTAACGGCTGATCCACGCTGCCACGAAATCCTTTGGAAAACTCTGTCGACTGCAGAGCTGACAAAGTCTTCCAGAATGTGTTCATGGAGTGGTCAGTGTTGATTCGACCCAAATAAAAACCCAAACCCCACAGGCTGCATGCAGAACTAATGAATTAATAAATTGTTTTATCTCTGTCCATGATTCCCATCAGTCTGGAAGATCACTGGGAGCCCGTTCTCACCCACCAAACGATTTAAGGTGTCCTTGCACTGCAAAGACTTAAAACTGCTGTTCAGAGAGAGCACAGAGCTGCTGAGCAAACCCAGCAGCTCCCAGGGGCTGGAAAATCAACTCCCTAACAACTCTGAACTGAAACATTAATCAAACCCCTGACAAAATTCCTGCAGAGATCCAGAGCTCAGCTGAGCTTCCGAGGGCAGCACAGGCTGCTTTAAGAGACGTGACTGTACCCGGAACTGAACGAGGGCACTTGCAGAACTTTGCCTGGGGTTACACACCAAGTTGTGCTGCCCAGTTTGTCCCGGCTTGGCAACAAACTGGCAGCTCCTCCCCTGGACTCTGGTCACTGCTTGGCTGCAGCTGCACAGTTCAGTCCTTGCCTGTGACCGGACTGAGAAATCAGCTGGAGAAAAGCGTCCACCAGAGCAACCCAAGCAGCTGAATGTACTCGGAGAGGACACGAATGCAGCTCTGACTGGGCTCCCAAGCTCTGCCACGCAGGAGAAGTTCTGCTCTGCGTGGATCCTCTGCCCACGCTGAAAATGGCAGAGGCCGCTGCGAGCGTCCTCCTGCTCCGTGCTGGCCTGGCACTGCTAGCCTGGCCCGTCTACCTGCTGTCCTTCCTGGGCATCTGGGAGCCCTTCTGCAGGAAGGTCTTCTTTCCTTTCATCTTAGAAAAGATTTGTGGACTTCACGAGAAGAAATCAAAGAAGCACAAGCAGGAGCTGTTCCGCAATCTGCCCGACTTCAGGGGCCCCTCCGGGGAGCTGCGGCTGCTGGAGATCGGCACCGGCAGCGGCGCCAACTTCCAGTTCTACCCACCGGGCTGCAAAGTCACCTGCACCGACATCAACCCCAACTTCCAGGAGGGCCTCTCCAGAAACATGAAGAAGAACCAGCACCTGCACTACGAGCAGTTCCTGGTGGCCGCGGGCGAGGACCTGCGGCAGGTGCCCAGCGGCTCGGTGGACGCCGTGGTTTGCACCCTGGTGCTGTGCTCCGTGCACAGCGTCAGCAGCACCCTGAGGGAAGTGCTCCGGGTGCTCCGGCCGGTGAGTACCCGCAGGAAAAAAACGGTGTTGCCATTCATGTCTGCTCTAGAGGTACCACGAGCAAGGAAAGGGGGGGAAAAAACCAAAAACAAACCCAGAAAAACTCAAAAAAACCACCAAACCCCCCACCCCAAAACAAAACAAACAAAAAAAGTGAAAAAGAGTTGGTTTGAGCTTAAAACTCAGACCAAAAATTAAAAAAACAAGTGAAAAAGAGCTGATTTGAGCTTAAAACAGACTTTCAGCCTTTAAAGTGGCATTTTCATAGAGCCATGGAATGGGTTGGGTTGAGAGGGACCTTGAAGATCATTTAATTCCAAAAAAACAGTCATGTTAGGAACTAATTGAAACAAAACCACAACAAACTATTGCTGAAATAAAAGAGGGATCAAATAAGTCAGTTCTTTGTGCTTTCTGAAAGGGCATTTTGAATCTCTGGACATTTCCTTCTTTCATTAATTCCAGATAACAGAGGGAAGGGAAAAAGGAAAGGGAAAAGGGAAAGGGGGGGGAAGTGGGAGCCACTTGGTGTGACCCCCACACCCGCTGTAAGAAGACTCTGTGTTCCCAGGGAGGAGCTTTCTATTTCTTGGAGCACGTGGCCGCTGAGCATTCCAGCTGGACGTATTTTTGGCAGCAGGTCTGTTACCCGACTTGGAAACTCGTCTTTGCTGGATGCTGCCTCACGAGAGAGCTGTGGAAGAATCTGGAAGAGGCGAAGTTCTCCGAGCTGAAGATACAACACATCAGCGTGGCGTTACCCTGGATGCCCATCGAGCCGCACATCGTGGGGTTCGGGGTGAAGTAACCCCTGTCCTGCCCCCTGTCCCCCAAAATTCCTCATCGTGGCCCACACACCCTGCACAGGCTCCTCCACGTGTGCCCATATCAGTACCACAGTGAAGGATTAAATCAGAAATGAACTGTCAGGTGAGAAGAGAGGGTCAATTTCCTGAGTGTCTCTGAATCACACAAAGTTGGAAAAGCCCTTTTGGATCACAGTCCAACGGTTAACTCAGCACCAGCACCGTGTTCACCACTAACCCACGTCCCCAAGTGCCACATCCACACGGTTTTTGAACACTTCCAGGGATGGGCACTCCACCTCTGCCCTCAGCAGCCTGTGCCAGGGCCTGACAGCCCTTTCCATGAAGAAATCTTTCCTCCCATCTAATTAAACCTGCCCTGGCATACCTTGAGGCAGTTTCCTTCCTGAAGCCCTGGCACTGCTGACCCTGCCTTGCTAGAACCCAGCACAGCCAGGGAGGATCCCAGGACAACAAAAACCAGCCCGGGAAGCAGAAAATAAATGCATTAATGGAAGGGGACTGCTGTCTGTGCCTCATTGACTCCGGAACAGGGATCCTTCAGGTGCTCCCCAGCCACCATGTCACTGGGGCTCCATGGCACCTGCTGCCCCCTCCCCACACTCCCTCACGGCTGCTCCACCGGATGGAGCCTGAATCCCCAAACATGATCCTTGGCCCGGCTGAGGGTGAGACCCTTGACCCTTGGCCCAGGTGAGGGTGGGACTCCTTGACCCTCTGCACAGGTGATGGTGAGCCCCCTGACCCTTTGCCCGGCTGAGGGCGAGCCCCCAGACCCTTTGTCCGGCTCAGGGCGAGCCCCCTGACCCTTTACCCTGCTGAGGGCTCCCTGCAGGCGGTCGCTGAGGGCAGGCCGGCCCCTCACCGGCTCCTCCGTCCGCGCTCCCGCGCCGTCCCGGCCGTCCCAACGGCCCGGTGCCGGTGCCGGTGCCGAGGCCGTCCGTTCCCCGCGGGGTTCCCCGCGGGGCTCCCCTCAGGCCCCGCAGCCATCTTCGGCCCTCGCCGGCGATGCGGCGGGCGCGGCCCGCGCTGCCGCTGCTGCTGCTGCTGCTCGCGGGGCCCCTGCCCTGGGGGGCGGCCCCCACCGACCCTGTGGACGGTACCGGGACCCAGCGGGACCCAGCGGGGCCGGGCCGGGGCGGAGGGGTCGGGGAAAGGGGCAGCGAGCGGGGAAGAGCCTGAGCGGAGCGGGGCTAGGGGCAGCGGAAAAGTCTGTCGTTTGTACAGAAATCTAGTGAATTCCGTAAAGCAGCGGCGACTGAGCGCGCTTAACCGCAAATCTATACACCAGAAATACACCTTTGTCAGATAAATACGGCGTATTTCACATGGGCTGAGGAAGTCCCAGGTTCCCCAGACGCAGGGGTCTGTGAGGCAGCGAGTCCTGCAGGACAGAGAGCCGTGGCGTGGTTCTGGCTGGGATGGGAAAAGCTTACAGCCCACCCAGTGCCACCCGTGCCAGGGCAGGGTCACCTTCCGCTGTCC